AATGGTTATCCCGAAAAGTTTATTGATAAGAATATGAATCTAAAACCAAAACAGTCCAAGTTACCAACAGTTCCAAAGAAAGCCTTGTTCTTACAGATGCAGTTCCTAGGAGACAACACAAGTGGGATACTAACACATCGCCTCAGAAATGCGGTAAAAAGAGCATTCCCTGCTGCTCAGTTACGCTGTATCTACAAAACCACTCCTCTTCTGCGTTCGGGAATAAAAGACAAACTGCCTAATTTCGCCTCTTCCATGTGTATATACCAATTTAACTGCTCCTGTGGAGCCATTTACATAGACCATACAATTAGGCGTGTTTCTCGTCGAATTTCCGAACACCACCCTGCCTGGTTAAGTAAAGGTCAAACAAAATCTATTCGCAGCGCTATTCTGGCGCATCTTGTGGAGACAGAACACAAGATTGACGTTAATCATGCTTTCATGGTCATTTACCGCATACCTGCGAATCTCAATTTCGCTTTAAGAGTTCGACTTCTAAATATTGCTGAGGCTGTGGGGATTCATATTAATAAGCCTAATTTATGCACCCAAAAGAAGTTAGTTCAGTCATTCTCATTACCTTGGCCATCCAGGTTTGAATAATCCAGAATTTTTGTGAAATTTCCCTAATTTTAGTTGATATTCTATTCGCTGTTATTATTATTATTATCTTTATTATTATTATTATTATTATAATTTAAGCATCTTTAATGAACTGTAATTCCATTGTGATCTTTCTTTACAAATTGATATTATTTAAAAAACACTAATATTGTTATTAACTACTAATTTAAAATATTATGTGTACATAAACATATACATAATTGTAGAGCCTGGAAGAGGAATTTATCGAAAAGAATATGCTTTGCTCCATTATTTTGTGTTTTATAGATGTCTGAATGAATATTTTTGCAAGATTAAAATTAGGCAAATAATGCATCAGGGGAGAGAAAGTATCCTGGACAGGTTGAAAAATGCAATGGATACAGAACTCCACCACCCTGAACAAGTTTTATACAGGATAGGCAAATCATATGCTGTTGATCAAATTGCAACTCTACGCACCATCATCGAACAAAGCAGTCAAACCTGTACCTCAACCTCATCGACCAGTAGTTCTACAGCGTTGACCAAGAAGTAGTTTGAAAAGCACTTCTACACTATGATATGCAGTGTTCAGTTCTTTATCAACCTCATTCAACAGACATATAACAATTTAACGCGTTAGGTGATCCACAATGGGAACTAAGAGAAGCCTGCATTCGAAGTGAATGCAGGAATAAGACAAGGCTATCTATTGTTACCGACAATATTTCTAAATGTAGTGGACTGGATCACACGTCAGACTGTGGAGATTGAGAAGACAGCAATACTTTGGACAGATAAAAAGACTCTAGAGGATCTGGATATCACGTGTGCATGATTCGTGTTTAATGTTACTAACTCACTCTCGAAGGCTTGCAGGTGTAAACCAACATTTTGGATCTGTACATACAAATCCTTAGAAAATGAATAAGGATGCATCCAAAATACGCTGGTCTAAATGGGTTATCCTAGTAGTTCTGTAAGGAGATATATGGAAACCATGTATGATAAATATAAACAACTGTCCCTGAAATTGCAATTCAATCGGGATGTGGCTAGTGAAGTCCTACATCTAGGATTATCGAGAGCAATAAAGAGGACTTATAATGCCGCCACCCTTTACTTGTCATTTTCCAGCTGCCAACCAATGATGATTACTTGAGTGAAAGACAAGTTGTGCCACTTCCATGTGTATCTACAAATTTGTTTGCTTCTGTGGAGAAAGCTATCTATATAGGGTGAACAACTACATGGCTCAACAAACGCATTAATGAGCATCTTCCTTCATGGTTCGGAAAAGGCCAAGAAGGGACTATAAGAAGTTCTATTTTGTCTCATTCGATTGATGATAGAGGTCACCGTGTGTTGACAGGAGAAGTGTCTTGAAAGTTATCTATCGCATGCTATTGGGGCCTTCGAACGGAATTCGAATCCGCTTTTTACACATAGCCAAAGTTAAGGGAATTCGAGAGAACAATCTTAGCTTTTGCACTCAAGAGAAGCTTGTTCTACTTTTGTCTGTCTCTTGGCCCAGTTAAGTTTCTACTGGTTGACAGTGACTTACAGTGGAATCCAGGATGTGCATTTCGTCCTATTTGGGATTCATCACCGGGTGTACCTACATCCCCCAGTTACTGATGGTATTCCAACCGAGTCTCGAACCCAGTGCTCATAGTCTCAAACTACAAAGTGTTATCCACTAGACCACTTGGGCCACGAGAGCCACCTCTTGTGCAATGGGTCTTATCAAGTTACATGACTAGACATCATCAAAGCATATTCAAAAGGAGCAGACATATCAATCTGAGACCGAGCACTTCGGTTGAATCAAGCAATGGGAAAATCCAGATTGAATTAGATAGTTAAATCCCAATAACAACCCTGTCACCATTTCTTATTTTCCAAATTCCTCCTTGTTTTTATGATATTCATTTAAATTCTTATTATCTGTCCACCTCACCCTTAGTATGGCGTAACTTTTATTTGTTTATTTAATTGTCTACATATATACATGTTACTACCTTCGTTATTCTTATCGCCACGTGCATAAACCTCATTGTCGTTATTTTGTTATCATAATAATCATCGTTGTTATTGACGTTGGGAACATTTTACACATAAGGGCTTTCTCCAAAACATCAGACACACACTAAAAAGAAACCTTATCCATGCAAAGGACCAAATCCCTAAAGGTTTTTCTATCTAATTCTGTCTATAAAATAAAATACTTGGAATGTGATCCGATATACATCGGATAAACGTCGCCAAGGAGAAATCAAGGTAATCAGAATAAATGAACACCATATAGCCTCATCTGTTCGACCACCATCAAGAAATCTAGTTAGTGAACTAGAAAAGCTTGAAAAATCATCAGCCATAGCTCGTCTACACGCTATAGAATCAGGCCACAAAATTGATTTTGACAATATTGAAATAATCCAGAAAAAAGATTTCAGAAATCACAAAGAACGTCTGATATCTTCAGAAGCACTTCATATGATCAAATGGAATCCAAATTGTCTGAACTGAATAGGAATGATAGACTAAAACAGAATTTATATATATACATATATATCAGATGCTTTGTTAATGAACTTCCTATAATTTGGCTTCAGTTGTTTCCAGTGGCTTTGGTAAATGCTCCATCATCTAAGTAGACAATCACCTTTCCATCTGACCCTTTTATTTACTTCCACAAACACACTCAAACTGATATAAGCAGTTCGAGAATTGACGACCGGTCGTTCCCACAATGTCGAAGCACTGGCCTGCAGATGTTAACGAATGCCGGTTTCGCATCACAATAAGTTCTGCTGATGTCTCTATCAGGTTTTTGGTTAACTACCTCTCCTTTAGATGGCAAATTTATATATAGAGCTCTCTTTAAAACTGTTTTGATAGTTTTAATGGGGCTTATTTCTTTAGAATATTTATTGATTAACCTCCCAGAATATGCATTCTTAAATAAAATACCCTTCAGAGATTTTATTTCATTTACAGTTTTACTGTCAGAACACATTTTACGCGCTCTTTTGAACAATGTTCTGACCAAGATCTTTTTACTAGGGAGTATGTAGTGTCCCATACATGAAAACTTCCTAAATGTAGATCTTCCCATTGTACCATCAGTCCCTCCCACTAGAGAAACATTAGGAATTTAATAGTATCAATCTCCTCGTGTTCTATTGTGAAGTTAGGATTCGTGTGGCAAAAGTTGAACTTTACCAATAAGCTCTCCACTTTTGACTTGCTTTCAAAGTCTTCCGAATAATCCAGTCAGGATTATCAGTAATATTACTGATGATAATAGGCAGCCAGCTTATCTTGCTCCTATATTCACTTCAAAGGCAGGCTTCGCTGAGTTTTCTTTTGTGGATAACCTGACACTTGGCACTGTCATACAGCCTGGTGTTGAATGAGGTTGATAAAGAATACGACACTACACGCTGTAGTGCTGAAGTAGCTTCCAGATTACTTCCCGGTCAGTAATGCGCTGTCGAAAGGCTTTTCGAAGTTGAGGTAGAGAGAGGTTTGACTGCCATTCTGCATAGGATTGTAATTTGATGAACAGCACATGATTTGCCTTTCCTGAATCCAGCTTGTTTCGATGAGCAGAGTTCTGCATCCATTGCATCTTTTGTTCTCTCCAGGATGATGTGGCACAGTATTTTACTTGGCGTGTGTGGACAAGAACATTATTCCACGCCACTTCATGCATGTATCTTAGATATAATTCCGTTTATTTTATATGCCATTTCTTCTTTGTTTTGTATTATTCAAGTTCATAAATGAGAGTAATTTTACGTTTGGCTAGTATTATTATATCCAACAATCTTATGACTTCGAATCATCACATTTTCCAAGACTGATCACGACCGAACTTTAGTTAGCGAACTACTAAAACCACGAGTGTAATGGACATCTGTTTCGTCCTTATTTGGGATTTTTCAGCAGCATTCATCCATGAGGGATTAAATCCAGGATCTTCTGCTTACAAGGAGAACTAATTGAAAATTCAGCAGGCCTATAAATTCTAACTTCTGTTAGTTCACGATTTATAGTACAACCGCCAGTCAATTTCATCAGCTAGCATTTTTCGTCACACTCTACAATGTGCAAGCATTGAAACATTTAAATGTGAATATCAAACGCTACAAATCACCATTTAATTAAACCGACTGTTATCAGTTTATGCATATGTTGACGAATTGTCGAATGAAAACTTAAATTCTCATTGGTTTTCCTAGTGACCTTGAATTTCATGCAGTCTTGCCGATTTGATTGGTTGATTGTTTTTTTACCAATAATCGATTATTAACATTGGTAGGAAGTTATTACAATTCTCCTAGACATTAACTTAGCCTGGATTGTTTTCAATTTTACATCAAAATTGAGATTTAGGTATTGTCATAATGACTGAGAAATCTCAGACCACCTTGACTATTCATGACGAAAAAGATGATGAATTATTGAATTCACAAATAAAAATGCAACAGAATAATGATGTTCCAGTTCTACCCTTTCCTACATTTATTTGGCGGATATTTCTCGTATTTGGGTAAGTTATTTGAATATACATGCATATATTTTATCGCATGAGTATTGAGAAAACGATAATGTATCTCAAAGTTGTAGCCTTCTACTGTTTCATTATTTTCATCTAGAGCAGATAAAATCTCTATACTACGTTAAGAAATAAAACTTCAAAGATTACTAGGTAGGCGTTTCGTCCTATTTTCATAGTCTTCATCATCTGACTTCACTATGTGAGCTGTAATATGGATGCTCATTTATGGCATTGGTCATCAGTGACATTTCTCAGGCCATATATGTTTGCCATCTATCTCCTGTGTTAACTGGTATGATATGGTGAGCAATATAGAGGTTAGAAGTAGAGTGAGAGGTAAGGAAAAAAGACAATCCATAAGATTGAGAAGGTATAGCAATTGAAATGGCTAGAACACTTGCTACGCATCCCTGCTTCTATTGAAGAACAATGTCAATACAAGTCAATACAGATATAAATCGACTACCAGCCATGAGGATGGTTACCTGGAGACGCAATTCTATCATTCATGAAAATTCAAATCAGTTCACTTTATGCAAAAAATTGCGCTGAATATATTGTCCAGAAGGATGACGAAAGCTCCGCAATTAAATCAACCAGCTCAGAGAACACTAATAACTGCAAATATCAGCTAACATAGGGTTAGGTTGCAAAACAGTTAGGTGTGGAATTTAATCCATGAAGTCATGTAGGCAGGTGCAGACTACCCGGTTGATGTCCTCAGGATTACAAGGAACAATTGCTGGAGACCGTTGTTGATATGGCTCAAAATCATTGTCACTGGTGCAGATGCATTCATTCACTGCAATCTCCTTCATGTTCTTCCATGTTACTATTCTTTCTTCTGTGCATTTCTCTTCATTATAGTTTGTTCAATTCTCTTTTGCTCTTCTTCCTTCTCTACCTTTGTGTTTCACATGGAATGTGAGAACTTGAACTGCTTTACTTCTGTACAAGGTTCTATGTTAGAACTCAGTCAGTCAGCGCTGGTATTATATCTTGAATCAACAGAAGTTAAAATGATGAATCGGTCATTGGATTCAGTGAATGGTAAATATGCTTGGTGAACAATAGGAAAGTTTTGGGCTCAACCCCTGATGTAGTCACTGGCGTACACTTCTGAAGTGTACTACACTAGGACTAAATATTCACTCAGCGCTTCACTGATTCAATGAGTGACATTAACTCGTGGTGTAATCTACACTGCAGTATTTTGTAGTTTAAAAAAATTGAACACGCTGACTAGATAACTACAGACTTGTTTGTACTATGTGGAAAAGAAGGCTGGACATAAAGAAATAGAAATTCCCAGGAAGAGCTTAGTGTTGACTAAGAATTAAGATGGATGTAAGTAGAACAATTAAGAAACAATGAGGTGTAATCAAGACTTCTTCTAATCTGTAAGAAATGATCATCATTTTAGGGATAAGTTCATTTCAGTAATGGACAAAAGAATCATATGAATACAAAAACCAATTAAGAAAAAGGATTCTGAACAGTAATGCTATTAATAGTCATAGAATAAATGAGCATCATTACGAAACTGTGAATCTATGACATAACGTTTAAAGTGATTATTATGACTGCTCCCTCGGGTTCTGAGTGCTAGGTAAGGTGGGGAAATCAGTCGACGAGACTGTGAAATTAAATCGGCTGAGATGGTTAGGACATGTGCTACGTATGCCTAGTCATCGCCTTCCTCGACGGGCAATGTTAGCTGATGTAGGGTCAGACTGGAAAAGAGCTAGCGGCGGTCAAACCAAAACATGACACCAGTCAATGAAATCTACAACAGTTAGTCTAAGCCACGTAGGAAGGTGTAGACTTCCTAACTGGTTGGTTGGGGTCCTCGGGACGGTAAAAACCAATGGTTGGAAACAATTGTTGACATGGCTCAAAATCGTTCTCAATGGCTGGGGCAGATGCATCCACTCCTTGTGACTTATGATTTCCAATGAAACTGTATTGTTCTTCGTTATTACTATTCCTTTGTCTTGCATCTCTGTTTACTGTCTCTAATATGCATTTCTCTTACTTTCTTCTCTTGCTTTGTGTGGTACATGGAGGGAGTGTGGCGACTTGAACTTCCGCACATATGTGCAAAGTTCTATGTCGAAAACCGACCGACCGACCGAGTGAAACACAGGGATTCAGCAATGCTTCTCCAGTTCACCTTGTTCCCTACAGTCGATTTTAACTACTTCCACAACTGTCTCTGAGTTTTTCTTTTCACACCATCTCTTCTATGTCGTTCCAGAACCGAAGCCCAACTCGTCATTTATCATCCTGATTCCACTTTAAGGCTTGCCATGTGGTATCAATTGAAGGTCTCCACAGCGTATGCCCAATCCATCTTCTCTTACTTCTGAATATTTTAGGCGACGTGTTCTTGGTCAGTTTGTTGCCACAGTTCATCAGTTTGTTCATCTTTTCTAGCCAACTGTCTGATCATCAGTACTGTGTAAGGACACCTGTTGATAATAATTGACATTTATAATCCTTAAATTAATGAAAATATATTGTGAGTCAAGTGACTGATAGTTGGTTTTGGGAATCTCTCATAGACTTCTTTCAGAAAACATTACTTTAATCTAAATGTCAAGTTTGGAGTTCTTCTTGTCTCTTCTGCTGTTGTATCCTTCTTGTTGCTTTTCATATCTTATCGAAGCTTTTATCAATGATAGTCTGTGCAGAATTCTTCGTCATATACCTGTTATATGTACTTCCTTATACTTATTACAAATGAGGTCCTTCAAAATACACCCCATTGAAATGAATTAATTTATTTGGTAGTTACAGGATCTCATCCTGTAACCAATCAAATCCCTGCAAACCAACACTTGAACATTGATCTGATGCTCACTAGTGAGTGGCCGTATTCAGGTAGGTAGTTATCTCGGTTCTAGTGAGAAGCCATGACCATTGGGATTCAGCAGGTCAGGTGTGAGGATAGATACTTGTCAGCGACGATATTTGCTAGTGGTCGCACTAAATCATGAATTGACAGAAGTTAGAATTCATGGACTAGCCATTTGATCGGTTCCAAGTGGCCTAATGGTCTACGAGCTCACTAGTCTTGTAACCCGAAAGGTCGTGGGTTTGAACCCCCGTGGGATGGGTGTGTACCGCTTAGGAGTCCCATACTAAGACAAAACAGCAGTCCAATACTCCAAGTTAGTTTTCCAATGGTTCTCTAACCGACGTCAGCTCATATTGAGATCCTGTGACCAAATGAATACCCGCAAAGCAACACATGATTTTTTGATAGTATTATATTAGCATTAGGAGTGGGCAGTTAGAAGAAGGCCCTGTAAGATTTGAATTTCTCTCTTCCAGACATTCGTTAGCAGGGCATATTTGCAACTCTGAAGAAAACAAATTCATCACTAAGCATGAAGATCATGCTATTCAAGTCACATGTGTTGCCTATAAGAATGACCTATCTGTTGACTAATAAGTATCTTTTTGTGTTTTTCAAGTAATCTTTTACTTATTCTCCCACCATACATTCTCTTTTTTTTAAATTCCTTTTTTTTCACTCCCACTTCATTAAAACAATCCACATCAGGGTATTTCTATGTTCATCGTATACAATAATTGTTCATTTATGTGAAAAAGACGGTAGATTACCGTTCAGTTCAGCAGCAGTTATTCTGATGACTGAGTTAATTAAAGTAAGTATCCTATTTAAACTGTACTGTTAACTTTTTAATATATACATTATTATTATTGTATCCTTTAATTCCTACAGGAACATAGGGCTTTAGCTGCACGTCTCCATTGCGTTCGGTTCTCTGCTAGAGTCTTCACCTGGATCCATGTCTGCCCACACGTCTTCATCTACTCTTCACATGACCTCCTCCAAGTCACCCTTGCACTGACGACCAACACGCCGCTTCCCTTTCGGCCGGGTTCCACTCAAGGGCTTGTCTAGTGATGTCACTTGATGGTTTCCTCAGAGTATGGCCAGCCAATCCATTTCCATTTCTTCCTGCCTATTTCTTTCACAATCGGTTCCTGTTGTGTTGGTTCGCTCATTGCCAGAGATCTCTGGCCATCTGATCTTGAATAGTATTGAGCGAAGACAACTGTTGATGAAGGTCTGTAGTTTGTTTGAGATGCTCTTTATGACGCGATGGCCAAGTCTCTGATCCGTATAGTGAGTAGCACTGACTGACTTCACATTGGAGTTGAAAATCCGGATCTTATTTTTGATGCTGAGTAGTGTTGTTGACTTCCACACAGACTTGAGAGTAGTGAAAGCTTGTCTTGCTTTTCCGATTGTTGCTTTGATATCCTCGTCAGTTCCGCCAGCCTGTAGTTGAAACGATGCTTCCCAGGTCGGTGGGTAAAGGGGGTTGTTTCTTTTAGATTCCTCCCATTTATGCTGATTGTTGTCAGTTGTTGTTGTTGCTGTTGGTGGTGTTGCCCAGGAATCTTCATCACCTCTGTTTTATCTATGTTCACCTGAAGTCCTATCCTCTGTGGATGATTCTTCCGCCAACTTGTTGCTTTTCGTTTGCATGTCTTCCAGTTTGTGGGAAATCATCGGCGAAGTCCAAATCCTCCAAGTTTTTGTGTGAGTCCATTTTATGCCTGTTTCCTCATTGCCCGTTGTTTGTCGCATTATCCAGTCTACTTCAATGAGGAAAATCATTGGCGATAGTAGGCAGCCTTGTCTTACTCCTGTCCTCACTTCGAAGGGTTCCGTAAGTTTCCCGTTGTGGACTACTTGGCATGCAGCATTGTCGTATATATACATACTTTTATAAAATCGGTGGTGACTGAAGGTAAAACGAAAATCTGCATAGCTGCAGAAATCGAGCCAGAAGCCTCTGAATTACTACCAGTCCTGTAGGTCAGCTGCTTAGGTGACACTGATATCAGGGAAGCTTTAAATCGGTCAGGTAACCTCAAAAAGTGTTAGTTTGAAGTGCTTTTATTGACATCAACTTAGATCACAGATTGATATCACAGTTAGAGAACGATTGAAACCTTGGAAGTATTTGGAAGTAACTGTTTCGTCTTAGTTTGAAACTCTTCATCAGTGTGTATTCATAAACCACAGTGGGATTGAACCAAAGACCTTCATTTCTATGAGACCAGCTTGTTGACCGTTCGGCCATTACAGCTGGAATTCAGTGACCCCCTTAATTCCAACTTTTGTCAATACCCTAAAATCGAACACTTGAAAATTAGCCTGACGCTCACCACGCGCTGAAGATGCATGCAGTTCTAGAAGGAAGGTCGTCACCATTGGTATCCACTTCGTTGAGTGTGGGAATTTATACTTGCTAGTGATATTAGCTAACGGAGGACAGGAGGCTCCTAAAACTGCGTACTGCTGAAGACTTATGAAGTGGGACGTAACAACCGTTCTCTAGTACTCCTTCGTTTTCAATGTCTCTTTAACTGTTATCCATTCCGTGATCAAAGCTGGAAACGTTTTTAAATACACAGTGTCTGTGCAGCTAGTGCTCTGGTTATGCATTGGTGATACAGACGTAAATACTTAGACTGGTCGAATCCAACCCTGTAGATAGCTGTAAAAGATAACACGACGTGGACCTAAATGATGACATGATTTGAAACTAAACCAGGTGATGTTTAGCTATGTGTTTTCAGGAAAATCGCTAGAAAACTCCTGCTAATTATTTCCATCATATCATGTGCTGATCACAATACAACTCTACGCATCATCATCATCAAACAGAGCATAGTACAGCAATCAAAACTCTCTCTACCTTAACTTCATCGACCAACTTGAAAAGGCATTCAACAGCGTTGACCGAGAAGCAACTTAGAAACTACTTCAACACTATGACGTGCAGTGCCCCAAATTCTTATCAACCTCATTCAGCAGCTTTATGATAATGATACGTGTCAGGTGATCCACAACGGAAAACTAAGCAAAGCCTACCTTTGAAGTGAATACAGGAGTAAACTAAGCTGGCTGCCTATTATCACTAACGATATTCCGTACTGTGATGGACTGGATCATGCTCTAGACTGTGCGTGGAAGTGAGGAGACATAAATACACTGGACCAACAAGAAGGTTCCAGAGGATATGGACTTCGTGGAGGATGATTTGTGTCTAACAGCACACAGACTGGAGGTCTTGCAGGCGAAAGCCAACGAAATGCAAGAAGAAGCAGGGAAGATTGGACTTCTGGTGAACAAAGAGAAGACGTAGGTGATGAGGATAACCAACGAACCACCCAACAGCAACAGCAAAAACAGCGCCAATCACAATGAACGGAAGAAACTTGAAAGAGTTTACTTCCTTCACTTATCTAGGCAACCAGCATCGCTTCAATCACAGGTGGAACGGATAAATATATCAAAGCAGGCCAGAATCGGAAAGGCTAGAGACACCTTCATCACTCTGAAATCAGTTCGGAAATCTTCTACACTCCAATGCATAGTGAACAAGATCAGGACTTCAGCACTAATATGAAGTCTGTCAGTTCTTCTATACTGTTCAGAAACTCAGAGTGAGCCTGATGAAAAGCATTTCCAATGGACAGCTGCAGAATTTTATCAACAGCTCCCCACTTCTCTGGTTCCACATTGAAGATCAAATGACCAGCCAGCCAGAAAGATTCAGCAACAAGAAACCGTGGGAAAAAACCAACCAAGAACCTATTGCTTAACAAATATGTAGGAGGAAGTAAAGATGACATACATTGGGGCAGCCGTCGAATCACATCGCGCACAATGAAGGCCATCGCTGGAGTGGAAGGTGAATGGGAAACGACTATTGGGTCGTCGGTGCGAGGGTGACATGGAGGATATCGTGCGAATTGGAGGAGGAAATGAAAGATTATGGGTAATCGTTGATCCAACCAGATGAAAAGGACAGCAAAGAATAGAACTAAGTGTAGATGTGTTGTTGAAGCCGTATTTTTGACTCGGAACCCAACAGAACAATAATAATAATAAATTTCCAGCATATCAAGTATACTGACTGCGCACCACTACATGCTGTTGAGGTTGGAAATGAAGTCGTTAAACATAAAACTTGTCATCGCTCTGAACTTGTTTCCACTCTTCCCTGTACATATATTTTTTCAGATGATACCTTTGTTATTCATGAATTCTTGTCATACTTCTAAAATCAAATTGTGTGTTGACAGGTGAATCCCTTATGACCAGCAAAATTGAATACACAGAAGAATGGCTGCTAAAAACTGAATACCTAAAGTTGTGAATCTTCAGCGTATCATACTACTCTTCATATGATATTGCTGAATTTCGATTTTAAAAAATACATTCTAAATGTCTGATGCCAAATGGGACAATTATATGTAAGTGTAGCTAAGAGAATAGTAAAGTTTAGTGAGGCTCTTCATAATCTCGAAGGTGATAAGAAGTAAATAAGATACATTTACTCTATAACGAATGATTTTGAGCCATCTTGTCAATAGTCGCTAACATTACAGTCTTCCTTTTCATGCGTGCCATTTTCTGCCACAACGTTGAATCATTTGCTTTCTCTGACGTCAAATCTATCTCCCTGTTATTTGACTTATTTTTATATACTACTGATAAATCTTGTCAGTAGCACGCGTCACAGTAGTACATGCGAAATATTGTCCGATAAGCTATCCACTTAATGCTTTATGACTTCAAAAAACAGAAGAACGAATTTCCGATAAGGTAGAATTTGTTTATCATGCCGAAATGGATAACACGTGAAAAATGACGTTGCGTCAGTAAATCAATTATTTCTCTGTAGTCGGAGATTACGTTATCAAACTTCATGAGAACTAAAAATTGGTTCTTATTGATGAAATGTGTTAGGCTTTATTTAGATGTTACATCCTGACAGCCACCTCAGCTGACTGAAGAAGGTCAGATTCACTTCATTTATCGACTATTCAAAATGACTCTAAAGCATATTTGTGTTTTTTATTCCTTTAAGTTCCCAGTGGAACATAGGGCTTCAAGTTAGAGGCTTGAAGTTTCGGTAACAGTGATGTTCATTTCTACGGGATGAGGTTGATAGCCAGCCTCATGCCCAACCTCCCCTCTTTACCATTCTTATTACTGGCTTAGAGAGGTAAGAGTGTGTGTCAGCCGGGTATCGAACCCCGGAACACGTGTGGCGTGGCTGGCGAGCATTCTACAGCTGTGTCGCTGACGCAGATATGCTCTATCCACTCTTTATTAATGCGATCAACGGAAAACACATAGGATTGCTCAGACTTAACTCATTTGTTTAAATCAAGATGCTTCTGATGAATATTTTGATGAGCTACTCTTTCTGTTCTTTTGACGGAACTACGACTGTGACTGAAAATAAATGAGGAAATAAAGAGGATTCTTCTTACTGTTTCCTAACCAGAAGATACCTTTTCAATAGAAACTTTAATCGGTGGATGTTCACTTTTTATTTAACAAGGAACTATGCAGACAAACTGATGGTATGGCTATATGGGGTCACCAGTACCATCAATTTTAGTCGACATTTTCCTTGCAAAACTAGACAATGGGATTGTGAAAGATGTAATTGATGAAGTAAAAATTCTACTTTCGGTACATGGATGTAGCACATTTTTGGTTATGAAACCTGAGGGTGAAGCAAAGAACATCCTTGTTGACAAGGATGTTAACGATGTTCATCCTGTATTATATTTTATCATCGAGAAAGAAAGAAAAAGACACTAGTAT